CAGCTCAGAGCACGGCCAAGGGACAGGCGGGCACACTCCTCCCTGCACACACACACATGTGAATGCAAACAGACGTGCCCAGGGACACACACATGCACATGTGCCTTCTGCACACCTGTGTGCAGACACACACACACACACACAAACCCAGCCTGCTGGCATGAATGTGTACGAGCACACACAAAGTTTGCATACATGCATGAACATGCAAGAAGATATGCTCCCAAAGATACACAGGAGACCCCCATGTGCAGGCAGTGAGTGAAGCCTGTAGCTGGAAAGCTCAGCTCGCCTTTCTTTAGCATCACAGCTAATAACAACTTTCAGGCCTGGGCTTTTAAGGCTATTCAGGAGCTTGCCTCTCACTGAAACCCACCTGGCCCTTAAATCCCCAGAACAGCCTCCCTTTCCAGCTGCAGGGCCAGGTCTGAGCCAACTTCGGCTTCTTGGCACCTGAGACCCCAGGGAGAGATGACATTGGGTTTGTTTGGCAGGTTTCCTTGGCTAGGAAATGAGCGGGTGTGGATCGGTGCCTACACACCCTGCTGATGGCCACAGCAAGCTGGGTACAGTCAAAAGACAGATCCTGGGCAGGGGAGAGGAGGAGAGAGACTGATGTGCCACGGATGGGGAGAAAGAGGCAGAGAGGTTGTGCATGGAAGGGAGGATAGAAAACAGATGGACATCATGGACAGGCACTTTAGACATTAGATTGGTCATTCTCAGCTAGAGGACTGCAGCATGCCAGGGTGCCTTCATATCTTTTCAAGGGTGTCACACAGTGTTAGCACTGGTAGGCATGCAAACATGATCCACAACATAAACTCAGAGATATCCTACTGAAGAAGGGTGATTACATCTGGAAGCTTGCAAAAAACTTTTTTCCAACTACTTAGTAGGTCTAATAAAAGATATCCTATCTACCCAAAGGCCTGCTGAGATTTCAAACAGGAATCCAAGGTGTTAAAAACATTCGGACCTGGTGCAGGCTTTCTGAGTCCTTTGCAACTGAAGAATCGCTGTATTATTTCTACAGTAAAGAAAAGCCAAGTGAAAAACAGGAGCTGGCATTTTCTGAGCAGTGTCTTGAGTCTAACCAGGGTGCATTGAGTCTAAAAGGCTGAGAAACACTGAGTTAGATGCACATGCAGAGCCCCACGCACTCAACTCCGTAGATCAGAAAAACAGCGAGGATATAGGAATCTGCGAGGGAGATACAAAGATAAGGAGCAAATAGGGGATGGATGGACTGATCGAAGCGGTGTGCACGAGTCTAGATAGAGCGTGTTTGTAGAGCAGACGGGCGAAGGATGTGCAGGGGGATAGACAGAAGCTCTCTAGGGGGATAGGTGGGGGGCTTGCTGGAGGATGGGAGACTGGAGCCAGTGAACCCCTCTCCCAAAAGCTGCCTGGAGAAGCAGAGGGACAGGGCATGGGGGGGAGCCCCAATCTGTCGGTGATGACAGTGTGGCCGGAGCCAGAGCCTAAATTAGCATTAAGTGTTTCCATTGTGCGCTGCACAATGCGGACCATATGTCAGGGACTTGGCTGGCAGGCCCAGGAACAATGGGCACTGCAGCCGGCTGGGGAAGAGCGTCAGCATGTTCACACGTCCTTAACGTGATTAATCTGTCCGTGCTCGCGGCCGGCTGTCTCCCCGTGCGCGCAAGGCCCAGGGGGTGGCAGTAGGGGCCTAGGCCAGAGAAACTGCACCCCCCGCTGTACACAGCCCTGTTGTGCTCATGGGACATCATGAGGTTTGCGTTTGAGGCTGGGATGGAGATTGGAGAGTCTGTGTGCACAGCAGGCTGTTCCCAGACACCAGAGAAGTTCGGGGGCAGAGGCCTCCCCAGGCCATCTGAGCAGGGAACAGGACACTCCTTGAACCCCAGTCCTTTCCCCAGACTCCCGGAGGAGACCCCAGAGCCCACTTTGGGCTCCAAGCCCATGAGACTGGTCTTCCCCCAGAGCTGGGACCAAAACCTGCCTCCCCTGCCCTGCCCTGCCCGCGATGCACCAGCGCCCCTCTCAAACCCTGCAAGCTTGCTCCAAGGTGGGTATTTCTGGGGTACAGCCCTGCCTGTTCACACAAGGCGCTGTTCCCCTGGGTGCAGGAGCATCCGGCTGCTCCTTTGCTCCTGATTTCTACACCCGCCTTCCAGCCAGCTCTGGGCCCAAAAAAGCTGTGCTCCCCTCCCTCAGAGCCACAACCCCGATTGCCCCGCTGGACATAGCTACAGCCAGGCAAGACCCAGGGCTCAGCCCCTTCCCTTGTCCCCCACAAGCCTCCCCCTGGGCCCTGCTAGATTGCTCTTGGCTCTCCCATTCCACCCTGTGTCCCTGGCAGTGGTGAGGATGTTCCCTGGTGCAGGCGGTGGAGGTTTGGACCCTGGCTTGCTCTAACCACCAGACTTTGGTAGCGCAGCTCAACAGTTTCATAGCCTGGACCTGGGAAACGCCCCGCTGACAAATGTTGCACCCATGTGGCTAGGTTTCTAGAAGCCCTAGTGCTCTGGATGGCATCCCATGGCAGTGACAGAGAAAACCTGTGTGTGCAGAGGGGGTTGTGCCCAGCTAGGGTGGATGCCGGACCACAGACGTGGCAGCTGTGACCTGCAGACCCCAGGCTTTGCTCCCAGGAGCTCTTCCAAGCTGAGCAGGCTCAGGTGGGACCACGACTTGGCCGAGGGATCTTTCCCTGGTTGCAGTTGTGCTGTGTAACGACCCAGCCTGGGCAGCTCAGAGGCTGGTTTTGGGCCAGCTGGGTCAGCTGCAACCATGCATTCGCATGGGGCCTGGCACCGCGTGGTGCTCAAGCCCCAGCACCCTTTACCTTTGCACCCGCAGCCCCAGACAGTCTTCTCCCTGGGTGCAAGGCTCCAAGCAGAGCCGGCCAGGCTCTGCATCCAGCAGGCACAGGCAAGCTTGCTTTCTTCCTCATAAAGTAAGGGATGATGGGACCCGTGGGCCTCATTTCCCACTGCTTCACACCTGAGGGTACAAGCCACTGCCAGGTGGGTCCCGTGACCTTGCAAGGGACTGAATCTCACGCCCAGTTTGGGGGGAAAAACAAGGGGCTGGGCGGGGGAGCATGCTGCAGTCCACACCAATCGTTTGGCTCTGCTCAGCCAAGAAGCAGCCGAGGCCAATCGATTATCTGAAGAAATTTGGAGCAAGCACCGAGCAGCTGCAACCAGCCCCCCCAGGGACCCCTGGTGATTGCCGGGCAGAAAAGGGAAAGGGGCAATAAATTCTCTCCCTTCTGGAAGCTGCAAGGAAAGCGGAGGCCGGAGGGGGGTGGGGAGGGCAGACACCAGTGGGTGTTGAGTTTGCAGATGGAAATAACTGGAGGGAGAGACAAGCAGCAGCACATAGCACCCAGGGACAGAGAACGGGAGACCCCCCCAGCCTGGCTCCAGGGTGCTTTGCAGGAAGGGGAATCCCTTGGACCCCAAGCACCCTGCTGGGGGCCTCTGACCTGCACATGCAAAGCTCCCAGGAGTTTGGAGGCACCTTGGCCTGGCTGAGTGCCTTGGTCCAGCTCTGCTATTAATGTCCCCCCTGACTGCAGCACAGGGAGCCTCAGCTGAGCCAGGGATGGGGCCATTAACCCTGCCTTGCCTGGAGGAGCAAGGACAAGGAGGGCTCGCAGAGGGCCATGTCTGCAGGGGTCTGTGGGGAGAGGTTCATTAAATGCCATGGGGCAGGTCTGGGGAAATGAGGGGCCAGTGCACGAGGATCCCAGCCCCTTTGGGTCCCCTATTACAGCATAGGTGTGTATCCCTGAGGCTGGTCCACATGAAAAGCTGGGCACCTTGGATAGATGGAGGGGCAAGGTCTGGTCTTGCAAGTCCCACCACAATGCCCACAGAGCTGGGTCTGCCGGTGACCCCCAGCTCGTTCCCCACCAGGAAGGCACAGGTCCAGGGCAGAAACGCAGGGCACGATGCTCCTGCTGCCCAAGACCCCTGGCACACCCCTGCCCAAGCCCTCCAGCTCGCCCCGTGCGGCGAGAGGCAGAGCCCTGACCCCTGCGGCAGTCAGGCCACGCGCCGGAGCATGAGATTTGATTACGCCCAGTCTTAACATCCCTCAATTACACTCATGAAATGACCCAGCTGCCACCAAAGGACAAGGACGGGGGAACGGAGGAGTAGGAAGGAGAAGGAGAGTGGCTCATTTCCAAATCCAAGGGCTCGGGCTGTGGCTCCGGCATGGTTTAATTTCATTTCCCGCTCCCAGCTTCCGTATGAAACCCTCCGTAACAAACCCTTGCGCATTCCCAACAGCCGACAAGCCCTCGGGGCCCGGGAGGTCCACAAGGCTGGCTTCTCCCTTGGCGGGGGCTGGTTTGTTGTGGTGGTTTTCTCTCTTCTGCTAAAAAAAAAAAGTGCACAACACTGCAAAGAAACAGCAACGGGATTGATGGATTGACGTGGTAGGGATCCTCGTGGCACAGAGTCATGGCGGGGAGGCCTGGCCGGCCCCGCTCTGCCCTGTCTATGTGTCTGTCTGCCTGGCTGTTGCTCCAGCTGAGCCACGTCGGGGTGGGAAATCCTGCTCCATTTGCCACGGCCATGTCTCTCCACCACTTCTCTCCTTCCAGGGATCTCCGAGCGCGCTGTGGACATTCACGGACGAGTCTTCGCAAGACAGAGGTAGGTATCATTCTCCCTGCTTTTACAGGAGAGGGGAAACTGAGGTACAGAGAGGGGGGAAAAGGGGGCACCCCTACCCCCCTGGGCGAGTCAGCGGCAGGGAGGGGATAGGACCCAGGAGTGCTGGTAAGAGCTAAATGTTGGAGAAAACTCTTGCGGTTGGTTTTTTGTCTCTTCACTTTCAGCTGAAACCCCAAATGGATGGGAGAGGCTGAGGGTTGTGAGCAAAACCCTGGACAGACCAGCGAACAGACACACACCAACAGGCACAGGCTTTTGGGGTACGTGCTGGGATAGAGAGACAAACAGACAGAGGGAATGAGCACATGGGGATGGATAGATGGATGGACAATCACTCATGGGTTGTGCAGGGTCCAATGCAGGCGGACAGACGGCTGTTGGCTCGGGAGCTCTGACATCCCAAGGTGCACACGGACTCGGGAGCTCAGATGTCATAAAATCCTAGAAAATGTCCAGTGCATCATTCAGGTAGCAGATGCAGCAGGCAGACAGACAGACAGACAGACCCAGGCTCGGAGGCTCAGACCTGCATGCACTCTGTTCAGGTGGGACGTACAGAAGATGGATGGATGGATGGATGGATGCTCTGTTGCATGGATGCAGAGATGGAGGGCAGGGGCCAGGCGGCTCAGATGTCCAGCACGTGCTTCAGGTCGGGTAGTCAGCGGGCAGACGGATGGATGGAGGGCGGAGTGGGGCGGTCAGACGTCCAGCACGTGGTTCAGGTAGGAGATGTAGCAGATGGCCAGGCGCAGGATCTCGATCTTGGAGAGCTTCTTGTCCGGTGGCAGCGTGGGCAGCAGCTTGCGCAGCTCGGCAAAGGCCATGTTGAAGGCCTCCACGCGGATGCGCTCCCGTGTGGCGTGGGCCGTGCGGTACTTGGCCGTGGCCCGGCGCCGCCGCCGGCGCTCCTCCCGGCTCAGGTGCTGCAGGTCCTTTTTCAGCGCCTCGCCCGGCTCTGCCACACGGGACTGGCCGCACAGGCCGACGCTGCCGGCGTCTTCGGGGCCCCCCCCGCGGCCGCCCACCCCCCCGCAGTCACTGAAGACCGACTCCGTCTCCGAGTGCGTTGGGGGCAGGTCGATCTCGGTCTGGTCTGAGTTCAGCATCATCTTGGAATAAGAGGGACAGACGGACAGACAGAGTGTACGAGGATAGAGAGGTATACAGAAAGACAGGTAGA